CGTTAGTGCCATATCTGAGCCCATCTCCCATTTGCTGTTAATTGGTTCCCCTTTTTGGAAACCGAGTTCGAATGATGCCGGACCTCCTCTGAGATTCATAGCATGTCTGAGAGCAGTGGGCAGACTTAGCATGTATGAGCACACAGGTAAGAGACAGCCAGCGGGAGCGGCCATTAATTATAGCGGCCACAGTCAGGGCGCCGGGCTCGTTAGCGTCACACGAGACTACACTATCGAGCGAGAGGCACGTGGAAGGTTTCGCACGTGAACCAGGGGAAACAAACCGCAGGAATCTATAAGGAGCGCATCCTGATTACGGGGGGGACGATGCGAGCGCGAATGGCACGTTTTAAACAAGGAAAACAAGTCAGCGATCATATTTTCTGCGGGGAAAAAAAATCCACAAAGTGCTACAGTCACTGGAAACTTATGGTTCGGTTCAGATTTCCAGAAAGTTGACTGTAAGTTTGGACAGCCTTGGTCCAATTAGAGGCTTTCCCTCACCGATACAGCCGAGAGACTGTCAGGTCTGGACTGATGACAAGTAACCGGGAAGGCAGAAGAGTATCACACACCCCCAAAGTACATTTATGCCTCCAAAAAAATAAATAATTCCCAGAGGCTTCAGATAACGGCACACTTCTGTTTCTCCACTGAAAAACAACGGGGCTTCCAAAAAAAGGGAAAAAAAAACAAAAAAACAAAAAAGAACGGAGGAGCTGGAAACCCTCTGCCGGAACCACGGCTCGCTATAAATACGAGCGGCGTGTCTCCTGTGCCAAGCTCCCCCGGCGCTGGTTATGTGTCGGCATCTGAAAGCCGCGCGGACAGAGCGGGGGCGCGGAGGGCCTTTGAGAACCTGGGGTGCGGGGAGAGAATTAGGGATCCCCCGGTTCTCTACCGAGCCCCCTGTTGGTGGCAGGCTTCCCTCGTTCACGCACTAAAAATAGCGGCCCGCCCACTTGCCATCACCAGCCTCCCCGTCCCTGCCTCTCTGGCAAGAGGGTTATCGGGAGCTCGGCTAACGATCGTGACTGGCGAGGGTTCCAGCGGTTCTGTGTTCTCTTTGCCTCCCCCCCCATTCTGTCGGAGCTCTCCTCGGCCTCCCATCTCTGCTTCGGCGAAGGAGCTGCAGCAAGCGAACACGGCGGCTAGCGATCCCGAGACCGAGTCGTCCCCCGAAAGCTTCCCAGGGACCCCTGCGGCGCTGCATTGGTTCCGCGGAGAACTTGCGTGGAGTCGGTGCTTCTTCACAATGTCCCTGACATCCATGAAGATGGTAACAATAAATAAAGAAATGGTGCTTCAAGAGATTAGCCAACATTCAGAACTGGAGCAGAGTAAGGCCCATGTGACTGGGCCGTGACTACCAGCAGGAACTGGCACAGGTGACAAAGATCAGACCAAGGGGACAAAAGTGTACCATTTACCAGACATGGACACCAGCAGGGCATGTGGTTTACACCATGATGTGAACTAGTCCTCCTCTCCTTGGTTGCCTAGACACAGCTGAACCACGTACCAGCAACATCTTTTCCCTTCTTACATATTTCGGCACAACTGTTGCAAAATGCAAGCCTTTGCCGAGAGACGGCCATAAGCGCCAAGAATCCTCACCGATACCTCACAGGCGTCTCACATGTCCGGGTATTTTAATTTGGTGTCACCCTAAGCCGGACGCAAACATTTATCCAGCCGAGTCATCGAAACGAAATGACGGGGACGATGACCTTTCCCGTGCAGCCTAATGCAGCCTCCGAGTCTGAGTGAATCACCTTTACTTTGAAACGAGCACCAGTCTGATCTGCTGCAGGCATCTCCTGAAGTCCCCAACGAGTCTGAAATGAGTATCGGGAGAAAAAGTCACAGGTCCATCAGAGAGATGAGTCCCACTCCCCAAAGGAATAAATGGACTCCGGTACCATTCTGCTTCAAAAGTCTCTCTCACCTCTCGGTGATGGTTCATAATTGCTCTTCAGCCCTACCAGATAAGGAGAGTTTCTGGGTCAGTATCTCAACCTTTACAAGGAAAAAACCCAGCTATGTAAACTTTAGACCATTGTCTCACTCATTTCTCCCTGTAAAACATTCACAAATTGGCCTACCAACCAGCAAAAATGCAACAATACCTGGTATAGAGTTTCAACCACACTAAGGAATTTCATTTAACCCAGGTTTTATCCTCGCTAAATGTGTCCCCCCCCCCCCAGCAAAAAATGCATTTTCAATCTGCTTTGTAAAAGGAAAAGGAGGCTTTTTTTTCTTTTAAAAAAAGGCACCTTTTGATGTTAAATTATAGATGTAGATTCCGTTTCTCCGAAGAAACAGACTTAGAATTTCTGTGGATTCCACTCACAAAAGTAACTATGGAAACGGGAGGCTGCACAGCCGTGCCTGCGCTGCTCTCCAGAAATATAGCTGTTAGAATAGCAGCAAGCAGGTGAACACAAAAGATCTTGAGCAGGACTATTAATAGTGCCTCACTTACATAACTTCCACGGGGGGCACGGTGGACCGAGGCTAGCTGGGTGCTGGAATGCGAGCCGGAGGGACCAGGCTCGTGGGCTGGGGAGAGGGCAAGTTGGGCAAATCCAGCTGACCCCCGCCTGAGCGCCAGCCAGCGTCCGTTCCCCGGCTCCACAAGCGGGAAAGAGCTGCGTAGGGAGCAGAAGAGGACCGGCACAGGAAATCGGACCGTGAATGTGCTTTTCGGCGCTTGTGCAGTTAAAAGAGCTCCCTCTAATTATTACCAAAATTACACGAGAAAAGGAAGAACTTGACTAGGACATCCCGATCTCGTGTCCTGTGATTCCTGGGACGGGCCCCGGCCTCAATGTGAACCCAGTCCCGAATAAGAGTTTAGGAATCGAGGGGCGGTGAATCGGAGGTGGGGCATCGTCACCCCACCGTGGCATTTTCGTGTAATCTTTACGCTTCTTCCTTTAGTATGATGTAACAGACACAAACCTTTCTTTTCTCTTTTTTTTTGAGGAAAGAGCACAGGCTACAGATGACGTTTAGCTTAGATTATACCTCTACAACACCCACAGTTACTGATCATACTTTGGATGGCATAGCTGTAGGACCCCCCCAGGTCAAGCTGCACCACACAGCACACTTTTGACGTGAATATATGACCCTTGTTGCCCTTGCCCTCCCCCCCCATAGAAGGGAAAGAGTACAAGAAGAGTGTTTCCACACAGCCTCCTTTACATATGCCCGGAAAAAATTCATAAGTACCCAAGGCCTTTCCATCAGTGCGCAAGCGGGCGCGTCCTGACTCATGTGAGGTGCGCTAGCTGTGATCACTAATGCTGTTTGGCCACGGTGCCATTTTGCCGGGGGATGGGGGTGGGGGTGAGGGGGCTAGAGGGATATCAATTGCACAATGATGGCTTTAGTCATAAAGATCAGCTGCGCGCTTCAAAAGGTTGGAGCCTCTCTCCGACGGCGGGCAGTTGAAAGGGACACGGAGCCACATGGCATTGTGTTGGTGCGGGCTGGGTGCGTACAGCTCCAGTGCGTTACACTCCAGTGCGTACAGCTCCAGTGCGTTACACTCCAGCCTCTCAGCCCTGATAGAAAAATCCTGGAGGGCGAGTTGGTCAAGCAGTGGGCTCCCCACTGGCTCGACTTCCTCCAACAGCCTTCGTTTCTCCTCACTGTCCCCCCCCCTCCAAAGGTCCCAAACAAGTACTGCTGGTGTTGATACGGGCCCCCCCCCCCCGACGCAGGGAAAGCCAGGGTGATGAGATCGGCCACAGAGACGGTCCAACGAAGGTCCCGCCCCAGAAAGCGGCTATTTTTAGCCGGTTAACCTTGTCGACGAAAATGTCTCCTGCAGCCGCCGGTGCTTTGAAGCGGAATTCCGTACCAGGCCATCGTCACTGTTCACAAGGAGGCAAGTCGCGGGTGACGGCAGCCGTGTTTTGGGCAGATCCATTTAACGGCAACAAACAATGGCAAAAAAACCCGCCGTGGCGGGCGACCGCGGCAACGGCGCACTGGTTTAGCAGTGTGGCCTCATGACGACGCCTCGCCATGGTAACCTGGCCTGCCAAAAACAATGCCCGCGCCGGGCTGACGTCAGCCGGGGTCCATTATGTGCATGCGGCAAGAGAAACCGAGGGGCCAGGCACCCGAGTCCCCCCCCCTACCAAATCAGCACCACTCAGAATCACAAGTATCATTTAGCCCACATTGCCCATGTTCCTGAACCAGGACCATTACCAATCAACATTCATTTAACCCATTAATATTAAACTGGGCCAAATGATTCCATAATCAATCTGACCGGTCACAGCCAGACCGGAGCAACACCCGTTCCAGCCTATTAAATCGGTAAAGGCAAAACTCACACCTCAGCTAGTGAATCTGTGTCCTTAACTAGCGCGCCACCTACAGGACAAAATTCAAAATGAAACAGAATGAATAAGTCGTAACTTCCCAGCTAGGGTGGACAGGCAGAGTCAAGGAATGTGCCAGTTCATTAAAAACAAAACAAAGGGCCTATTGACAGAGGATACAGATAGTTTACACCGACGCATGCACAGTAATCACAGGTGACCTAAAGTCCAGAAAACTACCAGACTTCACCGCCTGTGGAAGCACACAAACCATTTTTTAATAGAATAGACATATGCGAGTCCTGTCAATAAGTGATATTTATCCAATTTTCCATTGTCCCCTGTAAACAAAACGCATGGCACCGTGACGTGACTAATCTCAGTGGCAGCTGCCCGACGGGTCTCCTCCCCTCACACCCTGGGCTCACCTCGGGAACAGACCTCGCCGAGAGGCGCTGCCGTATTACACTACGTAGTAGTAGTGGATGGATGGAACGGAAACGGTAAGTGGATTTAGACCCCAACAGCACACGAGTCCTTTTCATACAGGGCTGAAGAGGGAGGGAGGGATGAAATGAGGGAAGGATGAAGGGAGGGAGAGAGGGAAAATGAAAATGAAAGCTACACGCTGAACAAAATTCCACACGTGAAAACTGGGGATCAAAACTGCTTTATTTTAGTATTTAAAAAATTATCAGCAATGTTTTTACTGGGTTTCACAATGTGTAAACGTGGTACCTTTTGAAGGATGTACGCACTCTTACTCAGATCGCTCCCTGAATATGACCTTCAGTGCAATTTAAGTGGGGTTTCGTATAAATTTTAAGTCAAGAAAAACTCAGAAGTCTTCATCCCCGGACCCTTAATTACATTTTATTCCCTCACAGAAACGAGAACATTGTCGATGTCATTAGAACACGTCTATACAACAATTTGTACAGAGACAAGAAGTTAAAAACAAAAAAAAATTACTTGGCACGTGTGACGTCGTTGTGGACCGGCGTGTCAGTACTGCTCAGCCATGATCAGCATGACGAGAGCCGACCAACCCGTGAAGGGGTGACTCCCCTGACCCCACCCCGTGGTGTCATTGTACTGTTCCCAGATATAACCCGTTTCCATGTACTGTTTGTAAACATTGTTGATGATGTTAGTCCTGAGCTCCTGGTACAGCGCCGCCACGGACTCCCGGTACGGCCCGTCCATGTTGCCGTAGTGGTACAAGGCCCTCACAGCCAGGTAATTGATGTTGATCCATATGGGACCTCGCCAGTAGGGGGCGTCGTGCTCGGTGTTGCGCTTCATATACATGGGGTCAGCCTTGGACAACGAGCGTAGGCCGTAGGGGGTCCACAGCTTGCCAGGGTCCCTCATGTCACGTAGGATGTGCCCCAGTTTGGGGGAGTCGGGGGTCAGGAGGTGGAGTAGGAAGGGAAAGAGGCTGACGTAGCCCAGAGCATTGACGTACTGGAGCTTGGGGGTGCGGCGGACGGAGCGTACCAAGCGGGCTGCAGGGAACTGGTGCCGGGGCTGCCCTGGGGGTATATACACCTTTTCCTGGACCAATGACACAGCAGGGGTGTGGTTCCCGTAGTCGGCAAAAGCACCCAAATGCTCAGACCAATGCAGTTCGGCCAGCCGTGCATTGTCGCTCAACTCGCGCTCTGCACGCCGGTAGTCGCTGGCTGGCTCACCCAGGAGCTGTGCCACACGGGCCATGATACTGGAAGCCAGTGCCATCCAGCAGCGCAGGTCCACGTGGCGCTCGTCGGCTGACGGATGCGAGGCCCGGGGGAAGTCGTCCAGCCCCGACGTCAGAGTCTTGGGGTTCAGGAAGAGGTTGACGTCCTTGTCCCGCCCCCGCCAGCGGTACGAACCGGGCAGTGGGCCAGACTGTGTGACATTGTACCACTCGAACCACGTACGTAGCCGCGGGAAAATCCGCCGGAAGAAGCCCTCAGTGGCCGCAGAGCGGCGCCCCGAGGACTCGGCGTCCAGCAGCGCCTGGAGCGTCAGGAAGAGTGTGGGCGGGTTGGCGTTCTCGTTCCACTGCACCACAAACTCAGCGGGCACTTTGCTGCGCGCCTCGTCGCCTAGGATCTGCTCACGCGGGATCCAGCCATCCGCGTTCATCAGGTCCAGCCAGTGCGCCAGAGCCTCGCGGGTGGCCTCGGGGTCCCAGCGACCTACCAGGAGCTGGTGGAAGCCCTCATCCCACAAGAAGCCCCTGGGGAAGAAGGAGCGCGAGGGGACAGCGGTGAACAAGCTCCCCTCGGGGTACAGTAAGGGGTGCTCGTTGTAGGACGACTGCACGATGGACTGGCCATGGAAATAGCCCATCCCTCCAAGCATGTTGCTGAGGGCTGCCTTGGCGAACTTGACTTGGCCAGGGGTAAATCCCTTGCCCTGTAGGCCAAAGGTCTCCTCGAACTTGCCGTTGAATGCTGCTACCTTCTCCTCTAGCGCCTCCGTCATAACCCGGCCTGCCAGCTGGTTGGGCCGCTCCCGGAAGCTTCCAGACTCAAAGAGGACCTCGATCTGGAAGGGGGTCTGCACTGTGACCTGGTGCAGCACGAAGTCGCTCTCCTTCCTGGGGTCCATTTGTTTCTGCTGCTGGGGCTGTGGGGGGGGACGGTGGACGTCCACGCCAATGTAGGGTCTCCTCTCGCCTGAAGGGGGACTGAAGACGAACCTGCGGCTCAGGCTGTTGCGGACGATGTCAGTAAGCTTCTCCAGACCGGGGCTAACAGTCTTCAGGTGATTGTAACTGGAGGACAATGAAAGAAAGTTCAAACTCATCCAGACAGTCCATATAAACCACCGAGCTTCCATCCACCCAACCATACATCCATCAGTCCCCCTCAGCAGGGACATACCTGGCATATTTGGTGCCCGCAGCCTCCCCGGCAGTGGGCTTCCCAAAGGTCACCTTGAAGCTGCCCAGCTCCTCGGAGGAGCCCGTGACGGAGCTCAGGCGGCCACGCTCCTCCACGTGCGCCTGCAGGGAGCCCTGGGTGTCTGCCGCCACATAGAACATCAACGAGATGATGGGTGGCTGGGGGGCGGAGCTCTGGGGTTGGAGGGGGAGGAGCCAGGAGAGGTGAGCCTACTGCAGCCAATAGTTTAACATCTCCAGTTTAAAAATGTCCGAGAAGCAGCCAATGAACAGCGGATGTCACAGGCATGGACCTGCTCACCTGCTGCTTGGCGGTCACCCTCCAGGTCCAATCCCCACCGTGATCCCCTCCCGGTCGCTTCACGAACTCGGTGGTGAGGATGAAGTCGGTATCCCGGATCTCCTGGACGCCGAAGCTCAGGCCGTCATGCGCCAGCCACCCGTAACCGTGCAGCCGGTCACCCTGCTCGCATGTGTGCCTCAGGCTCACCTCCACCTCAGGGGACTGCCGCATCCACATCAGCCCTGCGGGGGTGGCCTTCATTTACTTTCTTACAAGAATACATTTATACCAACTAATTTAATGTGGTCCTCAGCCCTTGTTCTCTGGATGGGTGCAGGCTATCAGTCTGTCATTAATGCAATTAATACACTAATTAAACCCATTCAGCTTTCTCTCAATACTGGACTTCAAATAAGTCAGATTCCCTCCTTTTTTCAAACACAAGCATGAGGACCAGTTTTATAGACAGTACAGTCCTATCTTTTTCAGCCATTGATATAGCTGGGATTTTGGATAATGGCCTCGTTAAAGGTGATAGCAAAAGCTGCCTTTCAGAGATGGAGCTGGCAGCTTTTCATGGAAGCCCAGATTACCAAACCACAAAGTCCTGTTTTAGTGTGGCAGGAGACCCCCCCACAGACCCAAACCAGGAGGCAGAAGCACAGGCTCAATGTTTAAGGAGTGGCCCGTACCCGTCACCATGGACCTGGGACTCCTCGTCTTCATGCCGAAGTAGACCTGTGGCCTGTAGGAGCCCCAGAAGCGCTGAGGGGACACAGTGGCACTGGTGCTGTTATCGTGGAGGACCTGGGGCGAGGGATGCAGGGTGACAACTCGCCTGGCCAGTGAGGAGCGCATGTACAGGGCGTAGAAGAACCACACCAGGCTGAAGATGCAGAGGCCAATGGAGATATTGATGAAGAGCTTGCCCATGTCTGCCTTCTTCTTCCGCTCCTTGTCCTTACGGTGTGGGCCGCTGGGTTTCTCATCTTTCCGGTGGGTGCTGGCGTCATTCTGCGAGACTCGCTTCACTGGCCTCTGTCGGCTCATCCTTCCCATGACAGTCTGCAGTGGGGGTGAGGGGGGACAAGTGTGTTACTCCAGAGTGCTTAAAAATGTGAAAACGAAGAACCCAGATCTGTCAAATGCAGTATCCTTCCAAAAACCCCAATATACTTCCAGGCCTGACAGCAACCTGGAATTCATATTTCATGCAGTATAACTGGAGGGTTGGATCCATGAACCAAGCTCACATTTTCTACAATTTTCCATAATTATGTGCTATGTTTTTCAGCTTCACCTTAAGCAGGACACCAGCTAAACATTAAGAGCAGCAATCAGCTTCTGGGAACAGCATTGTAAGATAACCTTCATCTACATATACTTATGTGAGTCGAGCAAATGCGAGCATTTTCCGACATTATCTGGTTCCCTATCTCCTGCCGCACTAACTTGTCTCCATATCCTGACGTTATCTAGAGGGGTCTTTGTGTTTGTGTTGATGGGTGATGTGCCGTACCTCGAACTGGGACACTAAGAACTTCCTCATAGGTTTATATACCGTTATTGTCTTGGCACTAGGAAACGGGGATAAATAGCACGATTACTTAACACTACGTGACTACGGTAATAAAACGTCGGAGAGATTATCATGTGATTCTAATTAGCTTAATGCTAAACAGAGCTTATGTCAATCGTGTGAATGGTGATTTATTAATTCGCCGAAAATAAAGGTGTCTGCACTCCAATGAATGGTTTCTGAAAACCAGGAAGCTGACGACGCGAGTGCAACACCCTATATGGAGAGAATGACACGCCTGGCTATTCAAAAAGAAATGGAGGGAAAAGACGATCGCACGACGAATAGCAGAAAATGCACCAGAATTCGCAGCTTCAGCCTAAATCGAACAGCAGATGTACCTTAAATACGTGCGAAACTCCGGTTGCACATTATCAGTCACGCTGCTTCCTGTTCGCCTCGATCCCACCTAAAGACGGCGCGTGAAGATGACGTTTCTCCAAGACCTACAGCAAACGCTTAAAACCTTTCATAAATGTGTAGCATGCCCCTCTCCATCCGCACACACATACATATCATCTTCATCGACATTACTAATTGTCATAACGTTATTTCACGAGAAAGGTGCATTTTATTTTCACCGGGCAAATACTTAGCGTCAACGCGTCGCATACAAATGACGCAAAATGACATTTATAGAGGAGTGACTGGGGGATAAACATGACACTACACAATTAATATTACGTCAAGATCGTCGTGGGAGGCAAATGCCGAAATTAAATAAAGGGCACAGCTATCAAGCTGTTTACATCTACGCTGCATTAATGTATTGGAAGCCATTAAATGTCGTGTGATGTAAGCCAAGCAGGTTCGGCTCATTCATTGATCTCATACACGCACGTTTGACCAACTCTCTTAGCCAGGAAGCAGTCCAGGTAAAACCCGGGTTACATCGAGCTGATAAAGTACTACAATGGCTTGCTGTGTTCGCAAAAGGACGGCCACAGCCTCAAGCTTCTCCAATTTAATTACTAGCTGTCATCTGATTGACTGCAATTACCTTGTCATCGCTCCAGAAAAGTGCGTATAGCAAGGAAATAAATAATTTTGAAACGTGCTTACAAAGTAGCGCTATAATTAGTCATCAGCCCAAATAACATGGCTGTCACCTGTTTAGGCTTTAAGGGTAAAGAGTTGAACTTAGAAGTAAGACGCAAGTTAGGGAAGACCGAGTTTAAAGACAAAGGGATTTGGTTCGCCTTATTCTGAAATAGAATTGTACCCTGTTATTTTTATAGGATATAACAGAGCTACTAGACAGTCTTTAGAAAAACATTAGACAAAAACAGAGTACAAAGAGCAATCATTCATCATCTTACCGTCAAAATAAGCGGAAGAATTGAGAGGAACACAGCGTGGGAATCCTGAATGATTTTAATGAACGGAGACTACCATCCCACACGTGCAATAAGGGGTTTTATTGAAATAATTACAAACGTCTTAGTGCACTTCAAGTGTAACGCAATTTGTTACAGATGATTAAACAGTTGAGAAGTTAACATTTATGAATTTCTGGGGGAAATAGTTAAACAATAAACCTTCCTATAAAACTTTGGTATACCGGCATACAAAATAAAATCTGAAGCTATGATTCTTCAAAACGTACAATCGGTTATTTGCAAAAACGTTTAACACAATCAAAAAAATCGCAAATGGAAGCCCATGCATGTGGCTCTAAGTAATAATGTTGCCCCTGAAAACGGAGTGAAATCTTAACGCTTCATCTGTTAATAAGTAGTTGGGAGGGTTCAGACCATTGCATTGGCTTGGTGTAGAAACTCGAATTGCCCGCTATTGGGGTTTGGAACGTTTGATCCAAGAAGAAAGCAAGCTGGCCTGCGGTTCTGCAGCCTTGCTGGTGACTCGCCGCCCCTGGTGACGTCACGCCAGCAGCCTCCTCTGCCTCCTGTGGGAAATGACCAATCGCGAGCGGGATCATCCTGCTGCCCTTTGCTCCCGACGGGACGAAGACTGACGCATCAAAACACACAATCATGGTGGAGTCATCCAGTTCCAGCCCTGAAACCATTTAATTGTTCTCATTTGCTGGGGGGAGGGCATGTCCTAATTACAGCGGGGGCTTCTAACGCTAAGCGTTTCGCCGTCCCGCTTAGCTGGAGAAGGGCCGGCAGGCGAATTTTTTTGTTTACAGGGTGGTTCGGGAAATTTTATTCATATTCCCCAGAGAAGCGCTACATGATTGGTCAAGTTATTCATATTTATGAGAATGGCTACCTGATTGGCCAGTGAACACGCTCCCATCGACATGTGCTGCTTATTTTTTTCAGCCTAAGGCATTCACTGGCCAATCAGGAAGAGCTTCATTTATGAATATTAATAGGTTTTCCCAAACGACCCTGTTAGCTGTCACCACGTGACAGCACTGTTAGGATCCGAATCACTGCGGGCCACATGCAAACCGGGGCCTACTGGGTTTTTCCCTTGGGCTCCTGTCGCATGTTCTGCATGTCACTGGACCCAAAGGGTGGCCAGGTCCCAAGATTAAAGCACCACAGGGGGGCGCTGTCCGGTTACAGCCATCATCCTGTCCTCTGTAATCCCATCATCCTTTGCTGGTCATGTTAGAGCTGGACCCCAAAGACCTGTGTGTCACTGGCTAACTTGGACATATTCTGGATCTTCAGGTGAACATCTAGAGATGTCTTCCTCTGTGATTTAAACCCTGGTGTTCCTGACGGTGCCTTTCGAGATGTTATGTGATCAAACCTACTAAACCTCAGCGTAGGGGCTGTGTCTCTCAACACGGAGAAGCACTGCTGTGCACGGCCGAAGTAGGCGATGCCGGTGAGAGACCGTACGTTACGTGCAAGCCGCCCGAAGACCTGAGCCCTGAGGACGTCTGTGTTCATCCAGAGCCGGAGTTCATCCCATCTGAGCTCTGCTGACTTACATGATTCAGTCGACAGGTAATTCATACGGTCGAACCAATCTTTTATGACTCATTTTAACATATGCTTCTGAAAAGTATCTGCAGCAGAAAAACAAATTAGTAAACCATTACCAGTTTTTGTGAAAACACAGTCTGTTCACTTCACTATAATTTCACTTAACTGCCCAAGAGCTGGGATTAAACAAAATCTTAAACTACGATTCATTGTAAAGCTTGTCCCTTTCAGATGCTTTCTCAAACGGTTTGGAACTGATTTCTCAACTCATGCGTTTGGTGCGATGTAATTTGAATTGTGCACATTATACAATAAGCAACTTTGTGGCTCAGTGGGCTAAGCCTCCGTGCTTGTGATCAGAAGGTTGCTGGATCGAGCCCAGCCTCGGCATGTCTGTGGCTCCTTGAGCAAAGCCCTTAACCCCCATCTCCCTGGGTTTTGCAACAGGTGGGTGTCACATACAATGAGCGAGTTGGAAGATGTGTAAATTTCCACATGAAAATCAATAATTATTATTAAATCACAAATAGCTCAACTGGTTAGAAATCAGTCCTGTGGCCTGTACTACGAAGCGGGGTTACTGGCTTATCGTGGAAACTTGTTGGATTTAAGGTACCACAGTTTAAACGGACTTCATATTCGTTCACTTACATTTTGCTCAGACTACCTTAAATCCAACAAGTTACCCCGATAAGCCAGTAACCCCACTTCGTAGTACAGGCCCCTGCTGTGCCAAAGGCCCTGGGTTCAAGCTTATGTTAATCCTGTTGCTTGTGGCGGGTGGTGTGCAGCTCAGCAGGATAGGATATTGTGCCCGTCAAGGTCATTGGTTCAAATCCCGGGTTCAGCTGAAGGACGTCGCCGCTGGGCCCGTGAGGAAGGTCTATGACTATCTGCCCCTGCTTCCTGATTGTACACAACTTTAGATAAACACAACTAACAAATAACAGGCGAATAGTGTTCGAATGCCGTGTTTAAAACGCTGACACACAGGACAGCCTAAAGCATTCGGTTCACATAGCAGTGGATTTTGAGCAGTCAGACTACAGACAGTCGCTGGACAAACTAAACTGTGTGTTGCGATGCAGTGTGTGTCAGATCGGAGATCCTGGCAGACAGTCACCGACCAGTACAGACCACTAACCTGTGAATGCTTAGGTGGGGGCAGGGCAGACAAACATCCACACACAGCTCATTTTACTGCTCGAAATTCTGTTTTTCTTTATGTAAGTGTCCTTACAAACAAGTCACATGCAATGGTCACAACAGATGTACACCTACCAACAAACTGGTACAGAAAAACGGCGTGAGAGACTCATTTATTCCCCGTTGGCTGCCCAAGAAAATCCATGGGGGACAAAGCTTAACAAGAAAAGAACTTTCAAAAAATCCTGCAAACAAATAATTTGGGAAAAGAAACATTTAATGGCGGATGACCCCCTCCCCCACAGTTCCCATCCTCATCCACCTGATGACACAGTGGTGGGTGCAGTAATGATGGAAGGCCAGGGCACGGGGGTGGGGGGGGTGTACATCCTCCCATCCAAGCCTCAGGCCTGTAGTGAGGGCCGAAGCTCAACCAGAGCGTACCCACCCGCTCCCCAGTGACATCACCAGCCACCCCTTCTAGGTCTTGATCAGCCCGCCATCACCTTCGCTGACAAACCTCTTGCGCCCCCTGGTGGACAGAAAGGAGAGGACCGTTCGTCAAATGATCGCAGCAGAAACCTGCTGGAGAAACAAATTGCTCACACGCTTTTAACAAGGTCACATAGTGAAAGATACCATAATGTCATAATGATGAGAATTAATTAGATGGCCAATCACTGGTCTGCCAATTACCGTGGCTGTGAAAACAGCCCGTGATTGAAATAAAAGGAATTTCTATGTAATATATATTCAGCATTCATAGAAAGCCTTGGGACGCTTGCTTAATTCTGTATCAATATTGTAAATTTATTGGTTTCATAACAAAAGTCCATTGACAAGAAACATTTACACAGACATTTTCTTTTTAAGTGTCATGATTCAGTTCTGTTCTTGCCATTTTGCTATTAATTGCGATCGTAGTCTTTGGCTCCAAAAGTGATATGAAACACAAATTTTAGTATTTTATGTTATTTTAAAGGTGGCACTTATTAAGAAGTCCACAATGAAACTGCTTGTCATGGAACTTTTTAACTCAGAACAGCTCATTTAGAACTATAATATGGGTTTTAGTTTATTGGTGCTTGAAATGAATGTTTTACTTAAAACTATTGATTGTTTCTAATGTGATATATATTTTTGTAAACAAATGATTAAAATAGTGATTTTTGTTGTTGTTTGACTTCCTGTGAGCACTGTATATGTACAAAATTAGACAAATGGTATTACTGAGTTCCTATATGAACAAAACAGCCTCAAAGCAAATGGACATTTTTTTGGGCATCTGGTGCAGGACGGCCGGGGGGGGTGGGGGGCACCTGGATGGACAGGTGTCCCTCAGCTGTTTGGTGATGACTGACTCCTGGTGGCACAGTTCCACGAAGCTCTCCAGAATGGCGTGAGCATGAGGCACGTCCAGGTTGATTTCGGGGAGCTCGGTGTAAACCCGCTGGAAGCCCTGTGGTGGGGGTGGTGGGGGCGTGGATTAACGGAGGGGGGGGCTTAGGAATACAACTGGGGGGCTGACAGTGACATGGCCTGGAAGCTGATGTAATGGAAGCTATTCGTTGTTAAGCATTTTAACTGGAAGCTGAGACATCGGGGAAGATGCTTCCAGGCTACCCTGATAATTATGTTAATTAAAGGTTAAAGGCTCAGGCAGACAGAGGACAGCCCCGGGGTCCACCAGGACCAGTCAGGTGATTATCACAGGACACTGCCTACTGCCATGTGCTCTGCATGGCGTGCACACCCACAAACGCGCATACACACACACAAGTACA